CAAATGTGGTGAGTTATTATAGCACATTTTTGCAAGTCCTAAATAACTTACCTAATCAATTTGGTCTCTAGAGATATAGCATCACAAATAATCCTCTAGCTGCCAATTCACCCTTTTTGTTTATCCATCTGTTAAAAAGTGTTAGTGCCCTCAAACTTGACTTAATACATAATACCTATTTGTGGGTGATAAGCTATGCTGAATTTTAACTTGGTGCGATATTATTCTAAGAGAGTTCTCCAGAACCTACTGATGAAAATCTTATCTCGATTTGAGATAATCTCTTCTGGCCTTCCCCACACTCAAACCACTTATTCAAAGAACAGTTTTGCCACATTTTCCGTATCCACTTTTGTTGTGATGGGTATGAAATGTGTTATCTTCGAAAACCGGTCCATCACCATGAATATTACATCAAACCCTTCACTTGGGGGGAGTCATGTGATGAAGTCCATCATAAAACATTTCCATGAATGATCTGGAATTGGGAGGCTTTGTAACAAGTCCCCACTAGCCTTAGTCACAATTTTGACCTACTAACATGTTGGACATGTTTTTACATAGTTTTGGACATCCTTAGCCATGTCTGGCCAGTGATACTTCCTCTTACGTAAGTTTATTGTCTTAGGCACTTTGCCATGTCCTGCAAGAGGTTCATTATGACACTCTTCTAATGCTACCTTCCTTAGCTCCCCTTGTGGAACATACACGTTTGTTTGTTTATAATAGATGAGTCTATTGCATTCTGCATAGCCTGTCTTCTCTTCCATAGGTGGCTTCCCTCTCTGTGAGCATCCTATGCCTCCTGGTTCCTTAGCAATGCTAGACCATCATTTTCATACGCTATCCACACATCATCCCAAAAGATTGTTGTCATGCTAAATATCGTTAACTTCAAGCTTGCTTTTCGACTTAAAGCATCTGCCATGATGTTGCTTTTCCCAGGTTTATACAGAACTTCACAATCAAACTTGGCCAAAGCATTAGCCTACCGACCCTACTTCCCTCTCAGGTTGGCTTGTGACAAGAAGTGTCTTGTTACCACACTATCCGTGTAAACTTTGAAGTGTCTCCCAATGTAGTGTTGCCACTCCTTGAGCACCTTGACCACTGTAAACAATTCCTTCTCATGGGCAACCACTTTTGCTAAGCTTTATCCAACTTTTTTGAGAAGAATGCTACTAGATGGTTATCTTGCTTGAAACCTACGCCCAATGCAAAGTCTAAAGCATCTATTTCTACTTCAAAGTTTTTACCAAAGTCTGGTAACACTAACATATGAGCTTTCCTCAACTTCCCTTTGAGGTGGACAAATGTTGCTTCGCATTCTGTTATTTATACCATCTTCCCTTTTCCCGTTTGGTCTGTTAAAGGTAGAGTTACTCTTAAATAGTGTTTGATAAACTTTCGGTAGTAGTTGTATAGCCCAAAAATGCCCTTAACTCTTGTACAATTGATGGTCATTCCCATTCCTAGATCGCTTGGACCTTTTCAAGGTCCACCTTGAGCCCGTGCTTGCCCACCACATATTCGAGAAATTTTACCTTTTATTGAGCAAAGTCACATTTGCTCTCTTTAGCATATAGTTGGTGTTCCCTTAGTTTTTCAAACACCTTTGTCAAGTGTTCAGCATACTCTTTTAGCGTCTCACTATAGATCAAGATATCATCAATGTAGATAACTACGAAATGATCCAGATAGGGTACAAAAATGTGGTTTATCAGTGCTGAGAACGTCACTAGTGTATTGCACAGCCCAAAGGGCATTATTAGAAACTCAAATCTTCCATACCTTGTCTGATAGGTTGTCTTCTCGACATCTTCTTCTGCTACCCGGATCTAGTAGTATCCTGACCTTAGGTCAATTCTCGAGAAGTATTTCACCTTTCCCAACCTATCAAATAGGTCCTCAATCCTTGGTAAAGGGTATTTGTTCTTCTTTGTATACTTGTTGAGAAACTGATAGTCTATGCACATGCGTATAGATTCATCTTTCTTTTTCACAAATAGCACCAA